CCGCAACTTCTCGCTCTCAATGAGAGTTAGTTGAGTTGGTTTGACAAGGTACTAACTGAAATTTATTTATGTTAGGACATTTTTAAAAATATCTTAATTTTTTTTTAATGTTTGATTAAAAATATTTATACAATTATTATTTTATTTGTTTATTAATGTATAAAAATACATAAATAAATAAAAAATAAGTATGTAAGTACTTATATACTTATTTTTTATTTATTTTAAATATATATATATTTTTATTTAAAAAAAAAAAAAAAAGATTTTTTTTCTATTATCTTAATATTAAAAAAAAATGAGTTAGAACCTTGTCAAACCAACGCGACGAGTTGTATCTAGAAAGACGTATACTCTTTTTCTTTACGCATACCTTTGTTAAACTGTCAAAGTGGCTGATAAAATAACAGGTATGTTAACTATACAACAAGCTGTGGAAGAGTCTTAGCAGAAAATTAATTTAGATACAGCAGCTGGAGTGATACGAATGTCAAGTAATGGATCAACCTGTTTGTCGGCTATATCAGGTAGGATGTTATTAGTGGAATAAAGAACTGAGATTGATGAAAAGTGTTTAACAAACAGCTTAGCTTTGTCTTTAGGTGAAGCAACAAAATTTGAACCATGTAGGAGAGGTGAAATGACAGATTTGCCCTTATTAGAGATACTGTTAAAGATTCTCCGGAAGTCTTGGGAGCTTAGTTTTTAAAATGAAAAACAAGGTTTCGTGACAAGCGAGCTTTGGTGTCAGACAAAAAATTTTTACAGTAGTTTCTAACAATATTAAACAGCCGTCTCTTTTCTGGAGAATTGCTTTGGCAATAGATATGGAAGTAATGGTTACGGAAATTGAAGCAGCATAATGAGAACAAAACCTTATAGTAGAGTGAGGCTTGACTTGGAATTGTCGAGAGATATCCCATACGATGCTGTGAAACATATCCCATGTAAAGCCTAGATGACTAAGTTTATCATGAAGTTTTATTTGTTGGTGGTTGAGAGTTATTGTGCAGTTTTTAATTTGCTTTTTTCCGGTGAGCAGGAACTCGGTTTTGTCAGCATTCAATTTTATGCAGTTTTTGTGTGTGTACATATTACATATATTAATAAGCTTTTGTAGGCCAGAGAGGGTGGAGCTAAAGAGTATAATGTTATAAGCATATGCTACAACACCCGTATAGTTTCCATTGATTGATGTACCTACGACGCTTTCGTTTTGTAAGGTTTCTAGTAGGTTTTGAGTATAAATGTTATATAAATGAAGCGAGAGAACAGATCTCTGTCTCACTCCTTGCGTTTGATAGAAAGGATATGATTTGCAATCTAGATAAGAAACAGAAGCACTGCTTTCATAGTATAATGACGATATGGTATTAACAATATACAGAGGGAGTTTTTTATCATTGTGCAGTCTCTCAAACAGAATGTCCCAATTGCAGCTGTCAAATGCTTTTTCAACATCTAGGGAACAGAGATAGACAGGTGAGTTGTTGTTGTTGTAGTGTTCAATTGTTTCATTAATAACAAATTCAGCGTGTAGGGTTGAGCTATTTTTTTTTATTTTATTTTTTTATGTTGATTTATTTTAATAGGAAGTTCACACCTCCTTCCCAACCGATGTCGCAAATATTGTCCAGAGGTGGGGTTTGAACCACGGATCTTACGTTTCTGAGACAAGTGAAAAAATTTTCTTCTTGTCTTGAAATAGCTAAGTTCTATTTTCAGCTGTTGAACCTTAAAAGGAGTTTCTATTCAGTAAAATTTCTGAAGATTAAAGTATTCAATAAATTCATACAAAATTGTATTCTAATCCACCTTAAGCTTTTTGCACTTTATAATGTTAGGAGCAGTGCAGTCAACTCCAGACCGTGTGCCACCTGCATATTTGCCTCAACCTTTGCAACAAATTTCAACACTGTGGTACTTTATTCTCCTTCTACAAGAACTATAGTTCCTCAGAATATTCCAATCATATTGGCAGTAATATCTCCATTGGTTTAAACAATTTTATCAAGAGCTTCTCTTTTCTTTAAAGCGTTTACAAGTCAAATGGTCTTGTAATATTTTTTATGTAGGAGAGAAAACTTTCTACTCTTCCAATTTCATTAGTTTTCCTATCTTTTATGTCTTCCCTTTTTTGCAGCCAACATGAAAAAAAAGATTTTAAAAAATATGAAATTCTTTTGTAAAGGATCTAATGAAGCATTATAGCTTCATCAGAATTATTACTAAAGAATTTCATATGAGCTTTTCTTGCAGTTGTATATTATATATATATATATATATATATATATATATATATATATATATATATATATATATATATATATATATATATATATATATATATATATATATATATATATATATATATACACACATATACATTCCTTATTTTTAAGGGAAAAATTAAGGAAATAATCTCTTATATTTGAAACTAGGAAAGATTCCCTTAAAATAAGGAAATTGGTTTTTAAGAAAATTTCTTTCCTCCAAATTCTTTCCTTATTATTAAAGGGAAAAATAAAGGAAATATTTCCTTACATTTTTAGTGAAACCGAATTGAAGAGGATGAGTTTCTTTTATTTCTGGACAGATTAGTAGGATAAGATATTCTATAATTTTCGTAAAGATTGGAATGATGCTAATGCCGCGGTAGTTATTTGAATCAGTTAAAGATTTTTTATACGATTTAGTAAGTGGTATTATACGTGATGTAGACATCAATTTTGGGGTCTGTCCATGATTAATAAAAAAGTTAAAAAAATTTCTGAGCCATTCTGTTAGTGCTTCACAGCTCGCACTCTTTAAATTTTCAGCTGATATTCCGAAGGCGTCTTTGGATTTGTTTAATTTAAGGCTAGAAATAACCGCTTTTTTATATTTTCATCCGATATTATTACCTTGTCGAATTTTGTGCAAGGTGGAATTTTTAAATTTGTAGAGGTATATGTGATTGCATTAGAGTTTAATCGATTTTCAAAACTGTAGGCAAATCTTTCGTGATCGAGTCTTTATCTTTTTTATTATTTATGGTGTACAATTTCGAATTTGCATCTTTTTTTATATTTCTGAAAGTTTTCCAAAAATATTTTGGATTTGTATTTTTTAACGTTTCAATTTTTATGTATTCTTTGTACAGGTTTTTATTTTGAGCATTTTTTACAGCATTGCGGAAATTTTTTCGTGCCATCCGGTATCGAATAAAAATTTGCGAGTTTAAGTTTTTAACGAACCCAGTTTCCCGCCATTTTTTAAAATAAAATGAAAGAACATTTTTACTACGGCTTAATTCGGGTGTCCACCAGGATTTTGAATACAATGACGGTGTTTTCATGGATAAATATTGATTAAGTGCCTCAGATGCCGACTTTGTAATAACAATATATACTTTGATAAGTTCCTCATCGTAATTGTCATTCGTAAAATTGTAAAAATTAAAATTAGTATTTAAGCGATTGTTTTATAATTGTAAAAAATCATTGTTTTTCAAGGCATAATTTGGAATGTTGTACTTGTCTGAGTTTTTATCATTGTTTTCTTGAGAAGATTGTCCAATAATTCTAACTTGAATCGATACTGGTAAATGATCACTCATGTTTTGAGATAAAAAAGAAATTACGAAACAATTGGAATAAAGAAGAGACGTATACTTTGAGAAAAAATATATGAAAAATTAAATCAATATTTATTTTGATTTATAAAATAAGGTTTATAATATACATTTTTTTATTAAAATTTGTCTTTTTTTTTCTTGTTATTCTAATTGTTTTTTTAAATGGCTATTTTTTTTTTGTATTTATGATTTATCAATCATATATGAAAAATATTTCAATGTTTATATTATCATTTATACCTTGTAAATTTATTTAACAACAATTTCAATCAGTTTTTATGAAAGTAGATAACAATGAGTTGACTTATTTTGATACTAAAGTTAACGCAGCTTTCACCTGAAATAAAACAACTATTCAAACATTAATTGTCAAAGAGTTACATAGTTTTAATGCAAACAAATCTTATGAACCTGACGAGGTTAGTCTGTATGTTCTAAAAATTTATGCGGAATCATAAACACCTTTAACTTCTCTTTTATTCAAGATATTATTTAGCTTATCATCAACAACAACAGATCCTTTACTATAGAATTTTATATGAGTTTTTATTCAAGTCGATTGGACTGTGACGTATTTCGTTTTAAGACATTGTCTTAAAGCAGTTGAAAACGGCTGTTTTCACTTTAAAGCAACCTAAACTTTATTTTGGTTATGATCACAAAAATATTTATTTTATAAAATTTGTAAGTTTTATACTAATTGAATTCCACTATGTTACAGTGACTTTGTAGAAAAACCAGTTTTATAAAGTTGAAATGCTTTAACTCATTTTTTTTTTAATTACTAATTATATTTTGGTAATAATAAATTTTATGCAAAATTTATGCAAAATCTTATTTTACCGCAGCCTCGGGTAATCGTTAAGGTGAGTTTTTACTCATCTGTTTTTCTACGGGAACGGGATAGGAAAGGGAAAAATAATCACTTGAGCATGCGCAGTTTTACTTCGGACAAATTAAAACTTATAATACGCATGCCCACGTGATTATTTTTCCCTTCCCTTTCCCGTTCCTGTGAAAAAACGGATGAGTGGAAACTCACCTTAATTTATGATCCAAAAAACATCGGCTCCAATATTATGAAAAATGATCGAAAATCGCAAATATCGATATGCAATTTTATTTTTCAGAAGTTACAAAAGAATTCATCAGTTTTCTTATTGAAAGAATTCAATAGGTTTCTACCACTTCAAGAATATGAATTTAAAAAAATCAAAAGTTTTAATTCTTCTCAATTGTATTCAAAAAAAAGTAAGTTACAAAGTTTTAAATGTTATATATATATATATATATATATATATATATATATATATATATATATATATATATATATATATATATATATATATATATATATATATACATATATATATAATTAGAAAGTAAAATTATTAAGCCTTAATATATATATACTAAACTAAAGTTGTTTTAAGTAAATTTTATCAACCACGATTTGTTGCCGTTGCCCACGTTGGTTTATTGATCCCATCATAGATAACCAGGTTTCCATCTGTTTGCATTACCAGACGATGAGGCTTTGACCCTTTCTGATTAGTACCACTTGCCCAAGTTGCTCTGTTGTAAGCATCGTAAATAACTAAATTTCCATCATTTTGCATTATTACTCTTCTTGGAGCAATTCCTTTATTATAAGAACCACTTGCCCAAATTGCGTTTTGAGGTACCCAATGTTGCGTAACATAAAGAACAAAGTTTCCATCTCTTTGCATAACTGCAAAATAACAATTACCTGATGAAAGGTACTCTCCAGACTTTAGAGTTAGTCCATCTTTTAATGTAGTTCCAATGTTTATTATTGCATCAAACTAAAATTTAAATAATTAAAAAACGTTGTCTCAAATCGAAAACAAAAAAAATAATATTTTTTATCGAAAAAAAAAAATATCGTTTTTATTGAAAAAGAACTCGAACAAAAAACATCAAAAGCTAATAAATTTTAAAAGATATTTGTGAGATAACTCACTAAAGTGTGTAAATAAATGACAACTTAAAAATAGTTACTCTTAACACCTGAGAACTATGATTAAATTAAAAGCGTTTAAGCACTTAAAGATAACAATTAAATAATTCATAATTAGGAGTTGTTAAAAGATATCATTATTAGAAAAAGAGTAGAATGTCTCACAATACTTTAACACCTGTCACAACAAATCATGCTTCATATAAATTATGATGTATTTAATGGAGCTGAACAAAATACGAGTCAGTTAGTACTTATAAAATTTAAAAAAATAAACTAGGTCTCACAAAAAAACAACTATCAACTATCACTTAATCTATTTAACTTGCAATCGAAATCGCTCAACATTTGGTAAAATTAGACAGAAGTATTACGAATAGTTTGCTCAATCAATTTAGAAAAATATGTACACATAAATTTTTATTTAATAGATTAAACAAACATGAAGAGTACAAAATTATTATTATTGGAATTGGCTGTAAAAAGCTACTAAATAAAATAAAGGTTTTTTAAGTAAATAAATGACAAATATAGAAGAAGTATAAAGTAAGAAAAAAGTATAAATAGAAAACAGATGATAATCCTACAAATTCTGATCAAAATCTAATAAGCTAATAAATTATTATTCAGTTTTTCTATCTAGGTAAAAGTATTTTTTCAAAATAAGTAATAAATTTAACAAATTAAATCAAAAAATTACAAATCAGAAGACTTGAACAAACACATTACCTGTACTTTTTGTACTCTTTTTACTGCTGTGCTGTTTTCATCCTTAAAAGCATGTGGACCTAAATACAATGCGTAGAATGACATCAAATAATATAATAAAACATATACTAACATCTTAATATGTTTTATTAACAAAAATAATTTCTTTAACACACTTTCTGCTTTTTCAAAAAGCAACTTGTTTTTAACTAATTACCTTTAATTACCTATTAATGAAATTTAATGTTTTTAAAGATTTAAACTAGTAATTTCCACGTTTTAAAAATGTTTATAAAAACAAGCTCTCAAAAGTTGATGTTTTTTAATGTTTTAGGGTTCTCCAAATGTGTTAAATATTGTTAGAAGTTATCAAAAAACGTCAGATAAAGGTCCTCATTTAGTAATGATGAATACACCTTCTTGTGAATACAACCTCTTATACAATTTAATATATGTTAAAGTATATTAAAAAAGGAGGATATGTTTATTTTAGGTTTCTAAAAGTTAAACAAGGCAAAATATGATTGCCAATTAATTAAAAATTTTTTTGAAAATGTCAACTATGGAAACTGATACATATATACCTGAACAGAGGTTACCACACGAAATAGTCTCAACTAACGCAACATCTCTACAACTATGAGCAGGCTTGCAAGTTCGTGTACGTGTGCTTACTGAACAGTTGCTATATGGAGACCATTCACTAATAAGTTGACCTAGAACAAAAAAAAAAAAATAAATTTATAATTATAATTGGTTTCACACTCGTTACTGAAACATTTTTATTACATTACGTCACAAACGGAAAATGGCGATACTATTAATAAAAACTTTATTGGCCGGCGTCTGTGGCTTCAAATTCCAACACTTTCGTCATACACATAGAGTAACTAAACTTTAAATTTATTAACTTGCGTCTTAAGTATTCGTAAATCTAAAATAAAAAGTTTCCTTTCTTAAAGTGTTCCAAGCTGTCAGTATAAACCCTTTAACAATTTAACCTTGGTTTATACTGGGCTTAACACTAAGGTTAGTATAAACCAAAGTAACCCATTATCGTGTCTATCGTGAGATTTTGATTTCATTCTATTTGCAAAAAACATTTTGCACAACCATGTTTTACTATGATTTTGCAATCTACAACCATTCTGTATTATAAGCTTATTCTTACATAATCTTTTAAATAAAACACAGGCTTAAAAAGTCATCATCTTTTTATACTAATAAAAATTTTTGCAAATAATTTTTTGGTTTGCGTTTTATTAAAAATACAAAAACTTATTTTGAGTTTTCATATAGAACGTTAACCATCCAAAATAATATTTAATTATAAAACATTCTACTTTTTTTCATTATAAAATAAATAAAAGTTCATAATTGACCTTTATGAACTTTTATTTATGTTATAATAAATATAAATTTAAAGTGTAATAAATATAAATTTATTTAGACAAATTTCTATTAAAACTTATAATATATATATATATATATATACATATAGATATATATATATATAGATATATATATATACTTATATACAAATATATATATACATATATATATATATATATATATATATATATATATATATATATATATATATATATATATATATATATATATATATTTATATACATATATATATATATATATATATATATATATATATATATATATACATATATATATATATATATATATATATATATATATATATATATACATATATATATATATATATATATATATATATATATATATATATATATATATATATATATATTTATATATTATATATTATAATTTGTAACTATTTCGTTTTTATTGTAAAAAGAATTAAAGATTTGTTGAGACAATAATAAAGAAGAGAAATTTTCAAAAGAATTTTTTCTAATGCTTACAAAGCAGCCAGTTAAACTTTACAGAAAATCCAAGCTTTTAGCTGCTCTTATATTTATTGCGTTGACCTTGTTAATCTGCCTGAAGACGTAAAAGTTATTAAAATCCTTGCTTCAATGGAACTTTATATACTTTGTGAAAATACAAACAGAATTTATAATAATCTTGAAAAATATTTGCAATCAATTGGTGCTACTTTATTGGCAAACCAGTGGAACCAAATTTTAGGCTTTTAAAGGCCTTATCTGCATGGTTGTCAATTTAAAGGTGGAGAATGTTCAGAACTACTAAAAAATATTCGTGTGTGTATGTGCGTGTGTGTGTGTGTATGTGTGTGTGTCTTTTGAAAACTATTATTGATTGTAAAAGGAAATAAATATAAATGTAAACATTAACTAGTGTTATTTAAAACATTCTCTAATTGAAAAACAATTGAATATATACCACAAGATCAATTTCAAGATTTTTTATTTGTCAAGATAAGTAACTTCTACTTAAGTGTTTTCATACTAATAATATAAATAATTTTAAAAAAATTACGGTGATCAGAGTTTGGAAACCATATTATCCCCAAATTAGGGCCCCAAGGTCCAAATATTTGTTAGGAAAGGAGGCGAAAAAAGCACTTAAAAAAAACTCTACTATTATGAGCTCGACTAAATTTCATTTGTAAAATTTTAAATGAGTAAAAAAATATTTTAACGTTTAAAAGTTTTGACTTTGTATAGTTGACAACCCTCTAAAATAGAGGGAATTTCAAACTTTCTTTGGTCGCCATTTTTAAACGATAAGAAATTTTTTTTAGATAAATCAATTTTTCCGATGAATTTGAATTTCAAAATTTTAAGAAACTAAAAAAAAAAAGTTATATTTTTCTTCTTTCCACATTTGGAACAGTGGGTCTCAATTTTTTAGGTATATTGTTCCTAGACTTCTATCACTGTAATTTTTTGTAAAACATTTTTATTTGATACCAGTATCAATATTACTTTCTTTGGTCGCCATTTTTAAACGATAAGAAATTTTTTTTAGATAAATCAATTTTTCCGATGAATTTCAATTTCAAAATTTTAAGAAACTAAAAAAAAAAATTTATATTTTTCTTCTTTCCACATTTGGAACAGTGGGTCTCAATTTTTTAGGTATATTGTTCCTAGACTTCTGTAATTTTTTGTAAAATATTTTTATTTGATACCAGTATCAATATTACAAATTTTAAAGTTTGCACCATCTCTAGAAGTTACCTATCTTAAACACAAAAAAACTACAACCTGTCTTTTTAAATCTGTTCAAAATATCGTGGTTTCAAAATTGCAAACTGTTTCTGGTGGACATTTTTTTTCAAATAAAATATTTCCGCTACGGAAGAAAGCAAAGTAATTAGATGCTTTTAAAACTTTAGATGATTCAGTACCAACATTTGATAAACTAGTAAATATACTGGAAATATATGTCTGTAACTTATATGGGGTTGAACAAGAAGAGTCAGTTAATTCCACTAAAGTCTAGTAAATTCAGCAAGGAGTGTTACAAACCAAATAAAGATTCGCTTGTTTTACACATTAATTGAGCTAATTTTGAAGCTTTTATCAGAAATCGAACACATGGAGCAGTGAATAACTCACCAAGTCCTTTTGAGAATGTTTGGTTTAATGATCAAGGTTCGATTACCATATCTCGTTTAGAATTGCCTCCTGCACCAGATTCGGCTCTTGATTTTGTTCATTATTATTGCCGTGGTAGTTCCACTAAAAGATGTTCTTGTAATAAAGCTTGTGTAGTTTGCCTAAATCGTTACAAATGTAAATCATGGTGATAACCATCAAGAAGTGGATAATGACAACCAATAAGATGAATCATATGAGTCTGAGTCTGATAATGATATAACTTAGATTAGATTAATAAATTGTAATAAAAATCATTTTTTATTTAATATTTTTTGATTTTGCAATGAAAAAATCAAACTGCAAGATAAACATTAGTGGCAGCAGTATATTTAGGAAATTTATTTAACAATAATATTTCTGTTTTAATTACAGTCCTTTTTTAAAACATTGCATAAAAATGGCATATAGCAAGTCTCCTAAGAAAACAGATCAAAAATAAAAAGGTTTAGAACCTTGGTTACCTATATCAAAGAGCATTCAAACTTTAAGGTACTTTTGGTAGTTAACTAATGAATATAAAAAATAAATTTAAAATCAAAATTGTTATTTATTTTAGCATAATTAAGACAAAAAGGAAAGTCATTTTTTATCATCCTAATAGAAACCGCCCTAATTAAAACTATGGGATGGTTTCTATATAAACCAAAACTTTGAACTCAATTATCCGGTTATTGGGACCATGAGAATCTGGGAACTTTTTTTGTTAATTTTATAGAATTAAAGCTCTATTTTTCACATTTTTTTTGTTTTTGTTTTTGTTGTTAAAAAAGGCTAAAAAGAGACAAAAAAAAGTTGCCGGAGAAGAAATCATAAAAACAAAAAATTCACATTTTATTTAATAAGTGTACATGTACACTTGTGTACTAATAAGTGTACATGTACACTACACAAAAAAACCCAATTATAAACGTCTGTATACAGACGTTTATAATTGGTTTTTTTTGATAAATCTACAACTATTTTTGTGGTTATTTTATTTTGGTCGTTTTTTATAAAGAATATATTTACGTCCGGCTGATAAACGTCCATCAAATATTTGTAAAAATTACAATTTTTGTCGATGTTTTTTCTCAACATTTTTTAGCCTTTCCACAAATGTTTAGACTTGGCAGAAAATGCAGCATAGCATTTGTGTGGTACTGGTAAATTTTTTGGAAAACAAATGTTTGTGACTTACTTAAAAAAGCACTAGACTCGTCACTCTTTCACTTATAGATTTTATTTTGTTTATGGACAACCTTAATTACAAAAGAAGTTTAGTAAAGTAATAGGAATAAATGTTAAATAAGTTTGTAAAAAAGTTTTTAGTTTTGTCACCTTATCACAAGTTTTTCAAAAGTAAAGAAAAAGTTTTCAAAATATCAAAAAAAAAATGTTCAAGATTTTCATATAATAATAGCACTACAATATTCTATTTTGATTAAAAAAACAAATTTTAAAAATTTCCAAGTATTCATAGATGACAATATATTTTGTTTATTTTTTTTTCTTATAAAAGTAATTAAAAAATAGTTTTTTTTAATTTTTGTTTACTGCTTTAATCATAAAGCAAGAAGCTAATACTTATTTATTGAAATAGTTTTTGGCATTAACAAAATCATGGTAATAATTAATATTTTTGTACTAGCTAATGCTTATAGCTTAAGGCATATTGTGTACAACTTACTTCTAATAATAATATCTTCTAATAATAATACTTCTAATAATAATATCTAACAATAAACTCTTTGATAATGCAAAAAAAAAAAAAAAAAAAAAAAAACACTAAATTTTGGTCAAAATTTGACCATAATAATCTGTTAAAAACCATACCTCTATATAGTTTAAATGCAATAAAATAACTTTAAACAAAACAAAGTATATCTTATTTTGCCTATTAAAAAATAAACGATTTATCTATTAATTGATAGAAACCATCAAAACATTGTTAGGAATGTTTCTTGATAAAAATGATACATGGAAACATTTTTATCAAGAAATACTCCTAAAAACGTTTTAAGAATATTTCAAGATAAAAATGGTTTATAAAGAAATATTCCTAAAACGTTATTCCTAAAAATGTCATTTAGACTATCTTAGCACTAAAGTTGTTAAAAGTGTTAGTAACCTACTTAAATTTAGAACTTACTTGGACAAATCTAATTTAAAGAAACAGTCCTGCTTCTTTATTCATACTTATAAAAACTATGCAAATATTTGTTGAGGAAGTATATAGAAAAACAAATTATAACTTCTTTATCGTCGTCAGAAACTTGCAGAGTGCCAAGTTAATTTTTAAAATAGTTTTCTTCATTCAAATTTGTTTAATTAAAGCATGAATGTCTTTAATGGAAATGTTTAAAAACTTGTTTTAATGTAAAAATTTCATTTTTTATAATTATAATTATATGTCTATAAAATAAGATAAAATAAATATAAATTAGTTCCAAGATGTATTTGTTTGAGAGAATAATTAAAATGCCAGCATTTGCGTAAAGAATGAATAAAAATTTATATTTCGGTATTACTTTATATAAAGATGTTCTTAAAAAATTAGAAAGTTTGAATACAGAGAAGTTGTGTTGAACTGATTTTATTAAATTTTTAATCTTATAAAATTGCTCACTCAGAATAGCTACATGTTCAAAAATTGCTCACTCGGAATAGAGAACTACATGTTCAGTGGAAGTCAGTCTCGTAGTACTTGTCTCAGAATATACCTGTAGATGTAACTTATTTAGATTTCGCAAAGACATTTGTTTCAGTACCCATAAAATACTACTAATTAAACTTAAATGTTATGGGATTTCTTGTACATAGTTAAAATTAATTAACGCATATTTAAAAAATAGAAAGCAAAGAGTTGTTATCGGAGAGATTGTCTCATCTTGGAAGGATATATTTAGTGGTGTGCCGAAGAGCTCTGGTATTGTCTCTTTTATATCTATTATTTATATTAAAGATTTGCCTATGAACTTTGGAAATATATCAAATATGTACCGGCATACATGCAGATGCATTATCAAGGGTTCATTGTGACCTTTTGCAAAATAACTTAGATAAAGCTCTCAACTGATCCAACAAATGGCTGTTTAATTTTGAGAGTTTAATTATAAATTTTAGTTAAAAGAATCCAAAAAGAATTCATTTTATTCAAAATATACCTTTAAGTACCGCTGTCGCTGAAAAAGATCTTAGTGTATATTCACCTCTAACTTAAAATAGAAAAATTAAATAATTCTATGTGCAAGTAAAGTAATGGATAAATATGTGCAAATAATGTTTTGGGTATGCTGAAGAATAAATTTTAAGATTTAATCAGCGAATTACAAAAGATTATATACACAACTTTTGTAAGACCGTTAATTGAAATCGCTGTATCTGTGTGGTCTCTATGTTTGAAAATTATGAAATTAATCTTTTAGAAAAGGTACAACATTGTGCTACAAAAATGATACTGCCACTAAAAAACTATGTTATGAGAAGAGATTAGATAAAATGGGTCTCGCTATCTTAGTTATGAGACAGATTCAGGGTGACTTAATTTAATGTACAAGTTGTTCAATGGATTTGAAAAAGTAAATTTAATTTAAGTAATTTTGCTAAGAAGTTATCAATCAGCAAGTAGGCACAAAATGAAATATAAATGCGAATCAACTAGCTATTTTCCTAGGCATTTTTTTTTAACAATTTATCTTTTTACTAGAATTGATTTTCTACTGGTGTCGTTAATGCTAATTCTCTAACTCTGTTAATGCTAAACTTGACATATGGATTTTAATTAACGTAACGACGCTAAATAATGATATAGCAGTCTAAGAATTTTTAGTACACTCACGTGTCGGTCGCTTCTCAATGATATTACTATTACTTTTAACAGTGCCGGATCAAGGGGGAAAGGTGGTAAAAAAGTAATTACTATTACTATTAATAGTAAATATAAGTATGTACAGTTAATAAATATAAATAGGTATAGTTAATTAAAGTTACCTTTTGAAAATGAAAACAAGCACACAAACACGAAACCAAATGAATACTTCATTCTAAAGATATTATAAAATTTTGCTATTAGTTGTACTTGAAAATATTTTTACATAAGAGATGCTTAAAATGATAGAAGTTTAATGTCAAAACATAAAAAAGGCATTTAGTTTTCTTTTTAATAAAAAAAAAAACATGCTTATAAGTTTTAAACATGTCTTTTTTTTATATTAATTTTATATATTTTTGTTATTATTTTTCTTAACAAAAAAGTTTTTACTTCTAATATTTTTTTAATATGATAATTTCAAAGGTTAAGATTGTCTTAAAGTTTTTATAACTTTTCATAAATCTATAAAACTTAAAAAACTTTTAAAATTTTTTTGGAAACTTTTAAAGCAATTAAACGACACCTGGTGTGAAAAAATAGCCAGATGACAAAAGACGTGTTCAAAATGTCTAAAACACTACGTTTTTGCTATATTAATACTTTTTTTATACGACTTAAACTAGTCGCTAACTACTTTTTTTATATGACCAACTAGTCGCTACCTCATTTCCCGGTGGAAAATGAAGTAGCGACTAGCCAGTTATTTGCTGGCTAGTTGCTAGCTCATTTCCCATCGGGCAGTTGATGTCACAATTGACGCAAATAATATGTTAGTTTACAACCATCAATGCATTCTGATAGGTGTAGAAAATTTAAAAACTCAAAAATATGCTGTTAGGGGAAGTTGAATCAAGATGGCAAGCTTTTTGAAAATCCATTTTCATTTTTTTGTAAAAACTATCAGTCATGGAGCAATTATATTTTATCAGTGTGTTTAGTATGTCATAATAATGCATAGCCTTCATGAGTTTTCATTTTGCAAAAAGAAAAACTGTGATAAAACTTAAAATGTAAAATTCACAAATTTGTAATCTTGCCACGAAATTGACGTTAGATGTGTTTTAGACTCCAACATTTTAAAATTTCAAAAGGCTTTATATAATGTATAGAGACGCGTTGCAAAAAGTATCCCTAGATAAATTACACCTGTAGAACACCAAGCATTATTAAAATAGCAGCTGCAGCTCAGTGGTTAACGCGATTGCCTCAGATGCTAACGCGATTGCCTCAGATCCGTTTTTCAACGCCACCTTTAGGCAAGTTTAACATCAGTAAAACTTGCCAAGAGGTGGAGCTTTAAGTTTAAAAATATCATTCTTATTACATCGCTGGGCTCTGTAATAAGACTGAGAATTTGAAGCTTAAAAAAAAAACTTATGCGAATATAATCACTTAAAATAAACCAATATTGATATTTTAAAATACAAGCTTTATATAAAGTTTTTTTTTAACTCAGTTTTTAATTTTATTGTTGAGTTGTTATAAAGAATATAAAAATCAATAACAAGATGTGAATCGACTATCCTACCCATTCCCATCTTGCCCCGTTTTCCCCTATTCCTTGAAACATGTTGTAAGAAGAATTTTATAAACTTTATAATAGTTACAATCCCTAGAAGGCATTTGCTACAGTTTTTCGATATAAATTTCTCTGCTAACTTATCATTCACTTACACACAGCAGGCACAGAAAGTCTGTTGAACGTCTTGAGGACGTCTTACAGACTTGTGCCGCCCATAGGACGTCATATAGACGTTCCGCGGACATCTGTGCCCACTGGGCACTTTATGTGATTTTTAATATTTGCACAAAATACAAAACAAAAAACTCAATTAAAATTTAATATAGTAAATAAAAAGGTAAAGTTGTTTTGAACTATTATTAGTTGTTTTCCTAAAAAACAATGACGCTATAAGTAATACCATATATATATTTTTTTGTTTCTGCTTTCCAAGTGTCGTTTTTAATACTGTTTTCTTTAGTACACAGTTGCTTACTGATATTGATGCGTGAAAAATTCCATTTTTTTAATAATACAATCTACAGTTTAAAATGTGTGCATTTGAAATGTTTATCATACTAATAATTACCTTAATACTTTACCGCTAGTGATTGTTTATCTGCAAAGCTTTCTGCTACTTCAACGTGTCCTTTAATCACTGTTCAAAAAGAACTTTTTTCTTCAGTCTTTAGCAGCCAAATGGTTTATATAGAGGTGTGCGCCAATAAATGCGTGAGTTCAATTTGATTAAGTTGATGACGTCTTTTGATGCTAGTGGTCAAATGGCACTCAGGTTAAGTACTAACTAGCATCAATGGCAGTTTGAAAGCTTACAAAAACTTGCAACTTTTTGTTTGAATGAATGGTTCAAAGATGATAAAACGAGAGAACAAGTTATGAAAGGTGAAAAACAAATTTGTTTAAAAATAATCTTTATCTTCAGCATAACAATACTAACTATTTTTATAATAAGGGTCATTAGTTGAATGGAATGAATGAGCAGAGGTTTGATACCATCGCAAATTGTTTTTAATAAAGGTAAGAAAAGCGTTTTCAAATATTTATAAATCCGTTCTGCTTTTGTAATTAAATTTTTATTTTCAATTAAATGGTTGTTCGAATTGTTCAAATTTAAAACGCTGAACTCAGTCGTGAAACTATAATTTTTTTCAAAATGAATTTTCTTTCGAAAAAGAAAATAGCTATACGCTTCATTAAAAGGAAAACACTCAAGTCGTGAATCTCCTATACAATATAAAAAACTTGTTTTTGAGGTACCATTTCTGTAGTTTGGACATTCTAACAGTCACACACTTTATGATTTATTTAGTTTTTTAATTAGATACAATAGAGTGAGAGAAACGTTTACTATTTCGTTACCTTTTTAAAAGTTTTTTAAAATCAAACAGTAAAAAAGTTAATAAAAAAAGATAACCAATTAAAACAACTGGTATAACTGCCAGACAAAAATCTAATCAGCTCAACCGTTCAAACAAGTAGGTTTAGCTTATGAAATCGAAGCTCAACCTAACACTTAATTTAAAATTAATAGTATTTAATTCAGAAAAAAGGAGTTTAAAAATACAATTTGTTTTTAGCGGTAAGAAACAAGAAAGCTTTAACTAAAAACAAATATTGCTTTTAAATATTAAAAATTTAGAGATAAAATTTATTTAACTTTTGAGATGAGGTACTTTTTAATATACTTAGTATTTAACATGCTTGGTTAACTGTCAAGTCCTTAGTGCAAATGTTTCAAAGAATGTTTCGTTTAAATATTTTCTTTTAGGAACAAGAAAAAAAAGACGCTGAGCATTTCATTAAATAAAGAATTATAATTTTTATTCGTTGGTCGTTGATAATTATAGTTGTGAGTCGAAGGTCATTGATAAAACTTTTGATCTCAAATTAATTTTATTAAGTTTATTCAAACGAATATTTGTTATTTTTTTGCCAACATTAGGTTAAAAACATTAAAATAATTGAGCTATATTCTATTTAAAATTAACATTAAATCAAAGTAAACTTTAATCTATAAACTACTCAGAAAAAAAAAAAAAAAAAGATGATACACTTGTTCTCACTGCTACATTTAAAATTATTAAAAATGATCAAAATTGTTTAGTATTTTGAAAAAGGCAAATATACTTTATTTTAAATCAACCAAATGTCACTGGTACAATATCCCCTTCTTAATGCTTTATCACATAAATAAAAAGTGTATTAAATTTAGAAAAGATTAGGTTAAATGCACTTAGTAACTTTTTAAATTAATTTATGCCGTTGTTTGATATGTGCTGTTGAACTTTTTATTTTTGATTTTTCGACTTTTGTATTTTGTTGAGAAGTTTGATATTAAAAAATTAAAAATGAAATATGCTCATGATTTTTCGATAAGTAAAATTGAATAATAAAAATTAAATAATAAAGATTGTAAAAATCGTTTAGTTTTTTTAAAAAGCAAATATAATTTGTTTAAAATCAATTAAATGTCACCGCTATTTATATACAGAGATATAGGCCTCGAGACTGAAGTCTTGGCCTCGAGACGCTTCGAGACTCATATTAAAGTGTCTTGGTATTGGTCTTGAAGCCTAAAGTCTTGGTGTTGCTGTCGGACCTTTACTGTCTTTTACTTTCTTGATTCTTACGAAAAATATCAACTCGATGAATGCATTAGTTATTAATAATAAAATGATATATAAATATTAGATGTCTAACTCCGTAAAAATTCCGTAAGGAAGCGTGAGGCATTTTTTTTTTTGGAAAATAAAATGTTTTGCCAGTATTCAATATGGCTTCCGCCAATGCGACAAAGCGCTTTCATAAATTTTTTTATTACAAACTTAAAATTATAGCCGTGTTTAGCTTTATTTATTAAAAAAGATACAATATAATCTTGTTGGCATAGTTATTGTTGTAATTTTTTAAAAGAAGCTGACGTAAATTATTTCATCTGAATGTTTTTTTTTTATAATAGTAAACTAAAAGTAGTTGATGTTACTTTAAAGTTATTGTTATAAAAATTAGTTAACTGCTATGGAAAAAACCTTTAATGTATTATATGCTTTAAAGAAACTATAAATGGCTTAGATTATGTAGGTACTTTATATTTACATTAATATTACCAATATTTATTGGAATATATATATATATATATATATATATATATATATATATATATATATATATATATATATATATATATATATATATATATATATATATATATATATATATATATATATATATATATATATATATATATATATATATACGTTGACGTAATTAATATTTAAATTAATTAAATACTAGAATATTATATATCATTAGAAAGCTCTCAAATACAGTATTTTAAAGGTGAAAAAGTTATGAAAATCTGACTGTTCTATAAAAAGTAATAGTGTTTTTAGTAGCAAATTTTCGATATATGGATTTATTGAAGAAACTGGTTCTAAAATTATTTTTTTTTCCCCACTGAAATTGTTATAACTCTATCAAATCTCATTCAAATGCCTATCCTTTGGTATCAAAAGATAGATGTTAGACTAGGCTACAAGTTTATATAATTTTATAGATAAAAGGGGTGTCTAGAGGGCCGGAGGGGGTACGGAACACCCTCGTAACCATAAAAAAACACAAGTTTCTCACACGAAAGAGTGTTTTTTTGATAAAATATGTCATCTTTATACAAAAAAAGTTGTTTTAATTTGCTTCCATTCCATTTCCAAATATTAGTGGCCGATTTTAGATTAAAGGGTCGATGTCTTTGTTACGTTTTAACATCCTCGTAGTGGAATGTTCGATTCTTATAAATACTTTAACCTAAAAAAAACTGATTATATTTTGTATTAAAAAGTTGAAATTGTATTTTCTTACTTTACAGCATTTAAAAGTGTTCTATAAACTGACTTTATGGCTGGGATGTGTGCACCGCCCAACGCCCTCCCTTCCTCTCCCCAGTCTTCTCAAACCTAAATAAAAAAAAATTTATAAGTGATTTGAAAAAAGGTTTTAAATTGAGTTTATTGAAAAAAAGAAATTATTATACAAGATTGTTTCACTACATTAGTTGGGGAGGGGCGTGTGCAAAGACTAATGCCCTCCCCCGCCCCCCTACTTATTCAAACTTATTCAAAAAAAGTCTATAGAAATTTAAAAGCGTTTTTAAATTGCCTTTATTTAAAAAGAGAGACATAACTTTACAAATCTTACCACATTATAAGATGAAGGTTCGAGTATTCACCCTAAAAATAAGCCAAACAAATTTTATAACTTGCATTTTAAAAAGTTACAAAACACTAATTTTAAATAAGTTTTAACTAATGTTAAAGGGCCCTTTAACAAATCGGTTTGAACATCCATAAGCAGAACAGGATATAACTATTTCTTAAGTAACAAAAGTGAAATAAAAAAATTATAAATCTTCTTTGCGTTTTTTGCCAGTATTCAATATGGCCAAATTTGCCTCACAACCGCGGCCGAGTCTATTCGCATGACCTCGTGCAAATAACAAAAATAAGCTTATTTGCAGAAAAATGTGTAATAATTGTATTCTGGTTAGCAAAACTTTTTTTAAATATCATTTTCATCATCGCCTTGGATAAGACTATCTTCACCAACTCGCAACAGAAGAGAAACTTAGTAAAACTTACATAATACCGTGGTACTGATTTTATTAGCTTTGATATCTCGTCATACTGAAACATAAAAATTTAGTTTGCGCACCCATTTTAAATTCTTTTAAAATGGATGTAAGAAAAGGAAATAAATTTTTTTTTTTTTTTTACTTTACCTATCGATACGTTATATATTTTACAATATTTATCGATTATTGTTCCTTTACGTTTATTTACCATAAGATGCTTAAACCCTAAGCACCTTAGGGTAAACAAACATAAAGGAATAATAATCGATGGGTATTGTAAAATATATAAGGTATCAATAGGTTGAGTAAAAAAAATATTTTGTTCTTATTTCATACAGGGGGTTTCGGAGGGAAATAAAAGGAAGAGGGGATTTTATTCCAGATCTAATAAACGGGGTGTGAATAGGCGTCATAAAAGAGTGGATGGGAAAAGTTTTTATTTTTTATCGATTATTAATATATATTTTTAAATTTTTTTCAAGTTTTAAGATTGTAACGTTTTTATTGTTAACAAGGAAATCAATAAACGAGGATAGGGGGTCTTAACACGTTTAGGATAGGTGGCAAAAATTTCAAAAATTTATAAACACGCCCTCTTCAAATAAAATACCTTAGTTAGCTGCATGAATTACAATGCCAATGTAAAGAGTTTTCAGAATTTTCAAATATATTCTTTGGAATGGAAAGGTATGAAACGTGAAACCTCCTCTTGCAATTGTCGCATTTAGCCATTTTTTTTTCTTTATTATCGGGAAGATGACATATGCAATATAGTGGTAAATTAATTGGTTTTGGTTGTTTTTTCTTTTTTCGTTCATTAGTCTTTATAGGGAATGGCGTTGAGTAATTGTCACTTAAGCATTTTGACAAGTGATCCCGCATAAGTTCTTGCTTATAATATTTTATGCTTGGATCATGATTGTAACATAAATCTGTTGCCGCTGCAATTGCAAAAAGACCACAATCAAGCCCACCAGATTGTTTTTGGAAATCTTTGAACTGTAATTTCAAAAAAGATTTTTTGACCATAATGATTGATCTTTAACCATCACGATTAATCCTACATCTTTCCACTAACTCTTAAATGATACTATAATCAAAAACATCAACTGAGTTAAGATGGGTACTTAAAAAATTTGAAATGGTGAGCCAACGCATTGCACCATTGTGTAAAACTTG